AAGAGAAAGGCTACTTATTGATTATTTTCAATTGCATAAACAACATTGGTGCTAAATGGAAAGAGAATGAATATTGAGCACCTATGCAAAGTTATTAGAACTGTGTTCCTTATTTCAGAAAGTTCAGTAGAGACGTGGATGATACAAATAGACCTACATCAAATTTCTAGAGATGAAAACTACCATGTCTGATATGAAAAGTACACTGGATGTGATTAATGGCAGATTAGACATTGCAAAAGAAAAGATTAATGAAGTTGAAGACACAGCAATAGAAATTACCCAAAATGAAAGAAAGAAAAATTATTACTAATTCTTAAGTGGAAAGACCATAAGTGATCTGTAGGACAACTTCACATGGCCTAATATATGCATAAAGTTCCCTAAGGAAGGAGGAGGATGACATAAACATTAAGAAAAAATGGCTGGATGTTTTTCAAATTTTATGAAAACTGTAACCCTTAGTTCCAGGAAGTTCAACAAAGCCCCCACTTCATAATCTAAATTGCTCACAACCAAGGGTAAGGATAAAATCTTAAAAGCAGCCAGTGAAAAAGACATATTGCATATAAATGAACAAAAATAAGCAGAATTATTGTCAGAAACCATGCAAGTGAGAATATAGTGGAGCAAGACTTTTGAGAGTAATGGAGGGGTAAAAAAGCAAACTGTCAACCCTGAATTCCATACTCCATGGAAATCGCTCTCTAAAATTAGAGCTAAATTAGCATTTTCCAGGCAGATAAGTAGCTGAAAGAAACCAGTAAGAGCAGAACTACACCACAAGAAATGTTGATACCAGAAGGATATATGAATTTACACAAAAGAACAGAGAGCTGGAAATCATAATTTGGTGAATGTACAAGAGTTTTTCCTTATGATCTAAGTGTTTGCAAAAAATAATTGACTAAACAAAAATAATACACATAGGGTGAGTTGGTTTTTTTTTTTTTTTNTTTTTTTTACGGAGTCTTGCTTTGTTGCTAGGCTGGAGTGCAGTGGTATGATCTCGGCTCACTGCAGCCTCCGCCTCCTGGGTTCAAGCAGTTCTCCTGTCTCAACCTCCTGAGTAGATGAGACTACAGACATGCGCCACCATGCCCAGTGAATTTTTGTATTTTTAGTAGAGATGGGGTTTCACTATGTTGGCCAGGATGGTCTCGAATTCCTGACCTCAGATGATCTGCCCGCCTCAGCCTCCCAAAGTGCAGGGATTACAGGTGTGAGCCACTGTGCCCGGCCAGGGTGAGGTTTTTAACCTGTGTAAAAGTAAAATGTACATAAGCTAATAAAGGCTGGGAGGGGAGAAATTCAGTATGCAAAAGTCTTACATTATATGTGAAGTAGTATCATATCATTCAAAGTAGGGGCCAGGCATGGTGGCTCAAGCCTGTAATCCCAGCACTTTGGGGGACTGATGTGTGTGGATCACTTGAGGTCGGGAGTTCGAGGCCAGCCTGGCCAACGTGGTGAAACCCTGTCTCTACTAAAAATTAAAAAAAAAAAGAAAAAATTAGCCAGGCGAGGTGGTGCATGCCTGTAGTTTCAGCTATGGGAGGCTGAGGTATGAGAATCACTTGAACCCAGGAGGTAGAGGTTTTAGTGAGCCAAGATTGCACCACTGCACTCCAGCCTGGGCAACAGAGTGAGACTCCATCTCAAACTAACAAAACAAAATAAAGTAGACTATGCCAAGTTAAACCCTGAAGTAATCACTGATGTGGAAAATAACAATTTTAGTGAATAGGCCAATAAATAAAATAAAATTTAAAGATACTCAAATAGATAGAAAAAGAGGAAAAAAAGAACAGATGGGACAAATAAAAAACAAATAGCAAACTGGTAGATTTAAACCTATCTGTTTAAAAAAATTACACTAAGTATAAATGATTTAAACACCCTATTTAAAAGGTAGCTGTTGTCAGATTGGAAAATAAGCAAAACTCAATTCTATTGTCTATAAGAAATGCACTTTAAATACCAAGACACAATAGATTAAAAGTAAAGGGATGAAAAAATTTAGCATGCTAACACTAATCAAATGAAGGCTGTAGTATCTATATTAATATCAGACAAAGTAGGTTTTAGAGCAAAGATGTCAATCCATGAAAAGAATATAATAATTCTGAAAGTTTATGATCTTAATAACAGAGCTCTAAAATACATGAAACAAAAACTGATAGAACTTCAAGAAGAAATAAGCAAATGCACAGTTACACTTGGGGATTTATATCCATGTTTCAATAAATGATAAAGCAAGTAGACAGATGATTGGTGAGGATAGAGATGCCTTGGGACAACACAATATACCAGCTTGACCTAATCGACATTGATATGACATTCCACCAACAACAGCAGAATCACATTCTTTTCAAATGTAACATTTATCAAGATTGACCATATGCTGGGTCAGAAAGAAAGTTTTAACAAAATTAGGAGACTTCAAGTATGTTCTCTGTTCTCTGAACTGTGTCAGAGGTCCTCAAGACTGCTGTCAGGCATTGATGTGCTGGAAAGACTCCCATAGCTCAGAAGAGCTGCTAAACTCGTGGTTACGGTTTATTATAGCAAATGGATACAGATTAAAAACAGTGAAAGCAAAAAGGCACATAGGGCAGAATTCAGGAGAGACCAGGCTCAAGCTTCCGGTTTTCTTCTCCCAGTGGAGTCCCATAGACAGTGCTTAATTCTCCCAGCAATGGAGTGTGACTGCACTTTTGAAATATTACCAATCAAGGAAGATCACTTGAGCTACCTCGGTGCCCAGGGATTTTATTAGGGGCCAGTCACGTAGGCATGGAGCACCCATGTTACTGACCTTAGTCACTCTCCAGCCCCTCCAGAGATCAGGCTGATAGAGCATGGCCCTAGTCCTCTGACATAAATAACATTGTTAGCATAAACTACCTGGTATGGCCCAAGGCCTCAAATAAACAAAGACAGGTAGGATATTCCAAGGGCTCAGAGTTTATCTCCCAGAAACTGGTAAGGGCCAGTTCTTCCTCTGGAATGTACATATTTGAACATCTCAAGGCCCTAAGTCAGCCCTTTACTGCACAGATCATGATGGAATTAATTTAGAAATCAGTAACAGAAAGATCTTTGGAAAACTCCCAAATATTTGGAAACTAAATAACACACTTCTAAAGAATAAATCAAAAGTTAAATTAGAAAATATTACGAACTGAATGAAAATTAAAAAAAACAGCATATCAAAATTTGTAGGATGCTGCTAAAGCAGTCCTTAGGGAGAAATTTCTAACATCTAAATACCTATATTAGGAAAGAAAAAGGTCCAAAATTAATAATTTCCACCTCCAGAAATTAGAATAGGAAGTGCAAATAAAACCCAGTGTATTCAGAAGAAAGGACATAATAAAGATCAGAATGGAAATAAATTAAACAAAACAGAAGAATGATAGAGAAAAATCAGTGAAACCAAAGTCAGTGTCATTGAGAAATCTTAATTGAGAATTTCAGTAAAATTAGTAAACCTCTGATATCAGGAAGAAAAGACAGAAATTGCCAATATTAGGAATGAGAGAGGTGTCATCTGCTAGAGATTCTACAGGTACCAAAGGACTATGGAAAATTATGAACAGTTCTATACCAATATATCTGAAAACTCAAAAGACATGGACAAACTATTTGGAAGATATAAACTACTAAAGCTCACTCAAGAAGAAAGAGATAGTCTGAATGACCCTATATCAAAGAAATAGAATTTTTAACTAAAAAGCAGCTCACAAAGAAAACTCCAGGTCCAGATGGCTTTACTGGTGAATTCTATCAAACATTTAAGGACAAAATAATATCAATTCTACACCAACACTCTCAGAAAATTGAAGGAGAGGGAATATTTCTCAAGTAATTTTATGAGGTTAGTATTTACCTGATATCAAAACCAAGTATGGAGGCATTTCAAGGAAACTTCAGGCAAATACTTCTTAGAAACATAATATGACAAAATTTGAGGCTGGGTGTGGTGGCTCATGCCTGTAATCCCAGCACTTTGGGACACTGAGTCGGGTGGATCACCTGAGGTCAGGAGTTTGAAACCAGCCTGCCCAACATGATGAAACCCTATCTCTACTAAAAATACAAAAAAAAGTTGGCTGGGTGTGGTAGCACGTGCCTGTAGTCACAGCTACTTGGGAGGCTGAGACAGGAGTATTGCTTGAACTCAGGAGGCAGAGGTTGCAGTGAGCTGAGTTTGCGCTTCTGCGCTCCAGCCTGGGCGAGACTTTGTCTCCAAAAAAAAATTTTGAAGCCAAATTTTAACAAATCAAATCCAAAAATATAAAAAAGGATAATTCATCTGGCCAAGTGGTGTTTTTGCCAGGAAAGGAAGGTTGGTTTAACATTTGAAGATCAGTCTATGTAACTTACCACATTTAAAAACTACCAGTGAAAAAGCTATATGATTATCTCAATGAATATGGAGAAAGAATTTGAGCAAATCCAACATTGATTCTTGATAGAAACACTCAGCAAAATTGGTGTAGAAGGAACCTTCCTCAACTTGGTAAAGGGCATCTAAGAAAAACTTATAATGTCAAACTTAATGCTTTCTGACTAAATGCTTTCTCCCTCAGATCAGGAATAGGATCAGGATATTTATTCTACCACTTTTTTTTTTTTTTTTTTTTTNCTCTGTTGCCCAGGCTGGAGTGCAGTGGTGTGATCATGGCTCACTGTAGCCTTGAACTCCTGGGCTCAAGTGATCATCCTGCTTCAGCCTCCCAAGTAGCTGGGATCACAGGTGTGTGTCACCACAATTGGGCTTGCTCTCACCACTTCCATTCAGCATAGTGCTGGAGATCCCTGCCAGTGCAACAAGGCAATCAATAGAAATAAAAGGCATCCAGATTGGAAAGGAGGAAGTAAACTGTTTGCAAACAACATGATATTCTAGGACCATCTTCTGGAGCAATATTTAAAAATGAAGACTTATGAAAAACAACTCACTCAGCTTTTGTGTGTGTGATTTTTTCTTTAAGGACTTTGTTTGGAGAAGCTGCCTATTTCTTCTTCTACCAGTAATCTCCATGTGGACCGGGAACAGGATGTCATCACCTGTTATGAGAAAGCAGGGGACATCGCACTCCTGTATCTCCAAGAGATAGAAAGGGTAAGTGAGGACCATGTGTTTGTTCCTCATAACTTTTTCCCCCATATCAGATGGTGGACATCTGTAATCAATCTCTAGGAAGCTTTCAGCTTGTCTGCCTCTGTGTGCAAAGCTTTACTTCTACTACTTAAAGCTAAGGAGAGGATGGTAGTGACTATGGTACGTTATGAAAAATAGATCATTGGCCAGGTGCAGTGGCTCACACCGGTAATCCTAGCACTTTGGGAGGCGGAGGCAGGTGGATCGTCTGACGTCAGGAGTTCAAGACCAGCCTGGCCAACATGGTGAAACCCCATCTCTACTTAAAATATAAAAATCAGCTGGGCGTAGTGGTGCACGCCTAAAATCTCAGCTACTGAGGCTGAGGCAGGAGAATCATTCGAACCTGGGAGGTGGAGGTTGCAGTGAGCTGAGGTTGTGCCACTTCACTCTAGCCTGGGCAAAAGAGCCAAACAATGTCAAAAAAAAAAAAAAAAAAAGAAAAGATAGAAAGAAAGATTAGCATCCTCTGAGCAGAAATGACCCTGTGCGTCTGTTCATACCCGCAGCACCCCGAAGCTGGCCGGCCACTCCTATTTTCCTAATAAAATGGGTTGAGCGTCATTTGTACTTGTGTGGACTCTGTGCCAAGATCTGTCCTTCTAGGGTTTGGGAGGCTTTACCTTGGCAGATGTGGCAAAGGTCTGCTGGGGACATGGACAGACCTGAGCGTGTTGGATATCTCCAGAGACCATCAGGGGTGGTCTGCTGTCAGCTGTCAGTGGTTTGCCTGTGGTGTGAGTGATGGAAACGAGCAGCTGCTAAGAGGCCCTCTAGCAGAGAACGAGTGAGCTCAGGGTTCTGAGCTCACAGCCTCAGGCAGAGGAGGTTGGAGGCTGGAGGCTGGAGGCTGGATGGGGCCAGGGAGGTGGAGGCCACTTGCCTGTTTCAGATTCTCATCTTTGGGTTCTGCTCTTTACTAAGTTTCTTCACCTCTCAGCCTCGATTTTTCCATCCATAAAGAGAACATAATCAGTTCCTATTTCATGAAAGCTTTTGTGGGGATTACATAAGGTCTTGTGAATAAAGGCACTTAGCCCAGATTCGGGAACATATTGGATTCTTGGTAAATGTCACTTATTTTTATTAATAACAATAGCTCCTAGCAGTTGCTGCTGCTGGCAGTCCTCACAAGGACACTGCAATTGACCCCTTCAGACCCAGAGATGTACCCTACAAGGGTGTTTGAAATGATTAGAAATCCTGTGAGACTTTGAAACTGATTGGAGGTCTTGTTTTCTATCAATTTTCTGGGCTCCTTGTGTTTATAAGGATTAGGCTAGAGAGGGACTGCCAAAGTCTCCCTAGCTTTTGTTACTTTCTAAATGAACAGACAGTAAGTAACTTTTTTTCATAAACCACAGTGCAGTGTGTTGGTGCATATGATGTGCATCAGAATTGCCTTTTTAGGAGGCAGGGAGGTTAGAGGGAGAACCATAGCAGAGGAAGTGGAGAGAGTGATGGGAATAACATGTGACCTGGTCCCAACCAGCATGGATTATAAGCCATGGTTTAAGACAGCTGGGAATTCAGGAAGATACATGTCTGTCTTGCCAAAATTATGTTCTATCAGAAGGTTGCTATGAGAAGAGAATTTTGTTGTTGTTGTTGTTCAGAATTTATGATATAATCTTTAAAGGGATGATCATGCAGGCTGCTTTTAAAACCCCCATTATTTCCAGTGTTTGCCTTCTTGATAGTCTGTGCTTGAAAGTAGAGAAGTCTGCTTATCTCAGCTGAGTTGTTCTTGCTGACCACACAGCCCTGGCCACTTAGGGCCCTTATCTTGCTGCTTACTCTCCACTGTCTTCCAGTCCTGTCACTTTGGAGCTGTCTTCTCCCAGGTGGGAGAAAGGAGGCTTATCTGTTACATGTGTCTGTAGTGATGTAGGAATTGGTAGATCTGAATACACTTCCTCCGTGTTCACCCACAGCTCTCCATTCAGTGCTGGATTCTTCAGCAGGACCGTCAGGGAGACTTCTTGTATTTCGTAGGATTTAAAAGAAAGCCTTTTCTTTGATTTTGGGGAAATGGTGATCATAAGATGTTAGATTTTTGACAAGAAACTTGAGGTCCAGAAAGGGAGAGCCTAGGCACACACAGAAAGTTAGGCCAAACCTAGTTTTAGAACTCAGCTCACAAGACACCTAGTTCAGTGCTGGCTCACTTCATTCTCCCAGGCTGCTGCACACAAATAAAAACCATGTCATTTCCCCACACCCTTACTGAGAGAACGTGCTCAATAAGGCTGGGTGTGATGGCTCATGACTGTAATCCTGGGACTTTGAGAGGCCGAGGCAGGAGGATCACTTGAGGCCAGAAGGTTAAGACAAGTCTGGTCAACATAGTGAGACCTTGTCTCTACAAAAGAGAAAGAGAGAGAAAGAGAGAGAGAGAAAAAGAAAGAAAGGAGGAAGGACGGGAAGGAGAGAGAGAGAAAGAAGGAAGGAAGAAAATAAAAAGAAAAAAGAGGAAGAGGAAGGCAAGAAAGGAAAGAAAGAAATGAAAGAGAAAGGAAGAAAGAAAAAAGAAAGAGAAATAAATTAGCTAGACATGGCGGTATGTGTCTGTAGTCCCAGCTACTTGGGAGGCTGAGGTGGGAGGATTGCTTGAGCCCAGAAGTTTGAGGCTGCAGTGCGCTATGATTGCACCACTGCACTTAAAAAAAAAAAAAAGTCAGTAAGTGTGTTTTATTTGACCAAGTAAGCTTTAGCTTTTGGTGGCATTGGGGAAGCAGCTTCTTTAGCCTAAGGTTAAATCTCAGTTTATGTAGACGATCTTCAAATTTCTGGCTGTGATTGTTCAGCATGAGTTTTCCTTTATGGGAAACCAGTTTGGATCTCCCCAGATTTCAGCAAGCTGAGATATTAGCAATGAGAGAGATTGAATGAATCCAACATCTGTTTTGACTGTAGTAGGTACTCAAGAAATTGTTGATTGAGCAGAAGGCTAGGGGGAGAATAACCTTCCTTAAGTGACCAATGGGCATGGTGGAAGTTGGCGGTTTTTATGTGGCAGGATCATTGTGTGCTATGCAAGAGATACTGATTGGCCTTTTTCTTTTTTTGAATTTTGAACTTAATTGACTTAATTTTGAACTCAATAAGAATGATGTTGAGTTGAAAACAGAAAGGGGGATGGCATCTGTTAAAAGTTGTGAGCAAGCCAAGGCAAATAGGGCTTTGTTTGGGAGCAGCCCTGCCAGGTAGGAAACCCACAGGCTGTTCCTGTTTGCTCTGCTGGGCAGAGGCAGCCTCTCTGGGGTTCCCCTTGCTTCCCTGCCATTCTGTAGTGAAGAAACTCCTGTTTGCTGGGGCCTTTGGGCATTTTAACTTTATTCACTAGTACAAGTAAAATTTGGGGAGGATTTTTGGAGACAGTTGGGAGTGTTGTGACCGGTGACTTTTCATAATCGTGCTTCTGAGGGAGCGCCGTTCTCTGGTTTATCTGGTGGTGGCTGGGTGGGGGTGGTGTCCAGTGATGTTCTGGGATGTTCTGAGTTGTTGGTTTCTTAAAGGGCGGTGACACCTCTGAACGAGGGCTGACCTGGCTTCCCCCATGCAGCTGACAGAGCTGTGGGAGGCCACAGAGCACTGCGGGGGAGTGACTGCCAGTGTTGGGACCCCAGCCTTGCCCCCATTAGCTGTGGGACTTTGGGCAGGTTGCTCAGCCTCTCTGTGCCTCAGGACCCTCGTCTGTAAAGCCTAAGTCCTAGTTGCCATGAGGCTCCTGTGAGGGGAGGCGGGTTAACTCATGTGCTTCCCGGCACACTGTCAGCACACAGTCAGTGTCAGCTCGCTTACCCTTATCCGTTCCTCTCTCACCCGGCTGTGGAGTCTTTCCTAACCTCGGACGATTTTAGATATTTAGGTTAAAATCAAGAATATTACAAACATGCTGTTTTGTTAAAAATGTTGAAGAGGATGGATGTGGTGGCTCACACCTGTAATCCCAGCAATTTGGGTGGCCGAGAGGGCAGATTTCCTGAGGTCAGGAGTTTGGGACCAGCCTGGCCAACATGGTGAAACCCCATCTCCACTGAAAATACAAAAATTAGCTGTGTTTGGTGGCGGGAGCCTGTAATCCCAGCTACTCGGGAGGCTGAGGCAGGAGAATTGCTCGAACCCGGGAGGCGGAGGTTGCAGTGAGCCGAGATTGTACGACTGCACTCCAGCCTGGGCAAAAGAGTGAGAGTTTGTCTCAAAAAAAAAGTTAAAGAATTTCAGGAAAATGTTTAAGGAGAATTGGCTTTTCCCTTTCTTGTGCTGAAGCCAGTGGAACAACGTTTTGCTTGGAGTCCCTGTGTCTGGAGTTCTCTGTTCACTCCTGGTCGCTTGACCTTGGTCCATTTGTTTCTGTGTGCTCCAGGGCGGGGCTCATTCTGCCTGACTTGTCTGATTTCTGGGGGCGAGAGAGCTGGTCCTTGCTGAGCACTAGCACGTGTCAGGCAGTACCTAGGAGCTTTCTAGGTGTTACTCCGCCCTCTAGTTCCAGACGCAGAGGTGGGGCCAAGAAAATGTGAATAAATGAATGCTGCGTGCATCAAATATTTGTTTAATATTGTCCTTGTTATAGCAGAGTCACAGGGACATCTACAAATAGTCTGTGATAGTTTATTTTCTGAAGGGGAATAACAGATATATTACCTCTAAAATTGAGCACATAAAATAATTTAATCAAATAAATTACATTAGAGCAGATAGAAATGACAAAGGCTGACCTTGACTAGTTTGTCTTCAGATGATGGCATTATGCCAGCAGTAAATAAAGTTATCTACCCCGAAAGGAGCTTCTAGACGCGCAGTGATGGGAATAAAGATGACTTCACCCTTGGACATCATAATATGAGCCCTGCTGTTGGCAGATGAAACCAACCATCCTGTCTCTGTCCTTTGCACACATCAGCCAACCAGCTGGTTATGGCTCTCTTGAGCAGGAGGAGAGCCAGGGTGGAACTTTA